CCATAGACAAGGACAAGCTGACCCTCCCCAAACACACAGACACCCCTCCTAGGTAGGTGCCAAGGTGCTGTGTGCCAGATGACATGTGGATGGATCCTGGCCTGTTAGTGTGTTTTCTGCAGTCTGCCGTTGGTCTAGCTGGACACGCTCCAGACGTCTGTTCACAATTTACGTTCTGCCAAAAGTACATGTAATACTGTTTCTTGTTTGCTGTTTCAGCAGAATTAAGCATACATGACATTAACTGCTGGGGAAAGAAATGCCATCATCATCTTCACAGCCTCAGTGTGTTTAAGCTGCCAAACACCCCAGATGCTATAGCTGAGAAGGAAGGATCAAATCAATCGGCTTATCAGCACTTTCTTCAAGTGCATCCCTATGACGCCGTCAGTCAATCAGATGTCTTTTTATACTGATCCACCATTCAGCTCTGCCATGGCATGCTGTGAATGTGGTGGGTCATTGTATATCATCAGTGGAATTTATGATGAACCCTCGTCCAGCTTCCCGCACCTTCAGACATCCCTTTGATCTGACAGGGCTATCCAACTGTAGAAGCATTGTCTGTTGGTGTTCAGCTGCTTAGTGGGAGGTGGTCTCCCCCATTTTAAAGTCGATGGCATGGGTTCTGTCACCCCCCCCCCCAGCAGGCCCCCATCCAGGTCCCCTGCCTGACCTCCATGGACACCCCCGTCACCATACGGGAGGTCTGGCCTCTACAGCCTCTCTCCCCCCTTTCCTGTCACATTGTGGGGTCCAGGTTAGAAGCTGAAAGACAGATGATATTCACTCATTATTGAAAGTGGTACTGCTAAACCCAGTCCACATGCACTGGAACTAGATATGCATGCTTCTGGCTTTGATATGGGGTAGGGCACAATGTAAAAGGAAGGGCGCTATATAACAGTAAATCAAAATGAAGTTAATCAATTAAGAAACAAACATACAAATAAAGATGTGCATATTGCATACAGAAATGTATACATAGATGTATGTACATGCACATGCCCATATCAAGCACTCACACATGCATGCACATGCATCCCAGCTTATGCCTGCTATTTCTGGGGCTTGGGGCTAGGAGTGATGGATCTCACGTGCTAGAAGGCAGCATGTATCTGTAATTGCACCCAGGCCTGTGGGGCTCAGTGGTCCTGGTGCTAACTCCAGCCTCTGGCAGAAATTAGGTTTAGAAAGCTGTGCTGGCAGCAGGTAGGGCAACCGGCATTCCCTTAAAAGTACCATTGAGTGAGAGCAAAGCCCTTGGAGTCCCACGCTGGACCTCACAGCCCCCATTCCGTGTGACCATTTGCACCTGCCCAGTGCCACTTTCTGAAGGCTGTGTTCATAGTAAAAGCAACACATGTTCACCAGCTTTCTTTCCTTGGGCTGTTCCAGGGATGCACTCTTTGGGGAGGCAGGACCCCTATCTTTGCCAATGTGTTCTCCAAGTTACAGCATATATTTACACGCACGCACACACACACATGTGTGTGCACAAACACACAGCATCTCTACATCCTATATTCTCTATGATTAGGCAGCAGTGTGCAGCCTGCCTTCTTGATGAATGATATCTTATGAAAAATAATAAACATGATGAGAAAAGAAAGTTATGTGAATCAGACAATGAAACAAGTGAATGCTGTGTTCTTATTATGTCAGCAAGAGAGGCACGTTTCCTTGTTAACCCACAGTATGGATAGACTGCTGAAACTGACTCAAGAACTGTTTCAGTATGCAGTAACTCCATATATTTTCTAAGGAAAGATAAATGTAACCAAGAGTTAATTTCTCCATAAATATCTTCTACATAAATTTCAGCGGTGACGCTGGGGAGATACAGTGGCAATAAGATATCTTAATATGTCCTTGAAGTAACCCTTGAATTTCAAGCCATGACCCAATTTTGAAAGACAAACGCTGACACCAAGTGGACAGCTAATGTATTGCATGTTTCCAGTCCAATCATACAGCGTGGGGTTTACATTTATTTTCATAGTAACTCAATAACCCAAAGTCAGCTTTGCGCTATCAGGTGCTTGGAGATAGATTGTCATTAATATGTCCACAAATTTGAAAATACACTCACTGTATCTTTTTCCTGTTTTTACATCAGGTCAACGGAAGTTGATTTTATTTGACAGCATTTCCTGAGCTCTTGACAAAAAGACAACAAAGCTTCAGTTCACAGAAATATTCCATCCATCCAACCATTTTTAATTACTGGTCATTCCATCATGGTCATGGTGGTTCGAAGTTCCAGGCAATATATGTCTTGTACAAAAGAGCAGCTCACCACATACCAGATGGACCAGGGTAAAGGAAGGATACACTCTTTCACACAGCTGTCATTCAGCGCTGCTTTTATTGTTTGAATCTTTCAGAAACAACAATGCCATACAATATAATGTAATTTGAACACAGACCAACATAATGTACAGCCACAGCACCACAATCACATGCTCCAGGTCATTAACCAACTGGATAAACACCGGTGAACAAGTGTTCATGTTCACTGTGTTAACTGTCCATTCACCTCCTTCTTCTTCACACGAATGGCTTTGTCATGCTGGATATAATACTGATGAGTAGGATAACTCTCATTGTCTAAGACGCATCACAGATAGAAGCCCAGCAATACAAATGCCAGAAAGTTTCTCAAAAGGTGTCAATGGTAAGGTTAGTTAAAGCTCTGAGAATTAGTTTTAAGAAGAGGGCCATGAGGTGCACCTTCTTCACTAAATTTTAATTATTATCTGGAACGTATGCATCATAATGAAAATTCAGCTGCCTTGCTATCATTTGAAAATGCAAGGGTTACTGTCAAATTAAAATGTTTTGTCCCCTCTCATATGTAACTTCCATATGATCTTGGGGTAAAACTAGAATTATTTACTCAAAGGAAAAGTAAGAGAGTGAAGGAAAGGACTCATGCAAAGAGACATAAAACAGCATCATACATATGTAGCTTTCAATACTGCAATCCCCAAGGACACCTCAAAGTGAGCTGATATTTGCTGATGAAATATCAAAGCATATAGCTTAGGTACAGTATGACTCAATATCTTTGGCAAATAGGAATATATTTAAACCCAAACAGGTCCAGCTGGCATAGTTTGGCATGCATTTTGCACAGTGCATAGTTTGATTTAGTTTGCATCTGAAATATGTCTTCAAAGACTGGCCATATATACACATATCACCTTCTGCATGTATGTGGTCTCACAGAAAACATCGTTTACATTTTGTTTGATCTCACTCTGATTTAGGGATTATACTGAGTACAAACATCAGTGTCAATTGTTTTTGTATGTGCTTTTAAATGTCATAAATAAAAAAAGCTGCAAAGCACAGACCACCACAGGGTGGCGATAATGACCTATTGCCCTGTCGGATCGCCCAAAAACAGGCAGTCCAAATATGCATGGTGTTTCATTATTCCACAGCAGCGCCCTTCCATTATGAGCAATGACCTACTGCAGCAAATAACTAAAAAAGTGCATCAGTGTGCTAACACGCCATAAACAGCGAAATGTTTTGCTCTTGGGAGTGACGTATCGACAGAGCTCCTACGGCTGCCATGGTATAAAAAAAATAGTCTCATAGTAATGCGTGCTCTCGAGTTAATTGATGCGCTCCGTTTATTAATCAGTGCGGTAGAGTTGTAATTCGTGCCAGTGATCCGTGCTGTCGAGTTAGTAATGCGGTCGCTCGAGTTACTAAATCGTGCGTTGTAAGTGGTGATTAATTCGAGTGTACGATTTACTACCTCGAGCCCACGCATTACTACGAGACAATATATTTTTCTATCATAACACCTATTGGGGCTCCGTACCTATTCCTTACGCTATTAGCAAAAAGGTTATTTCATAAGAATGGATCATCATTCATATTTAAATCATTTATCATAAGCCGGTTCTAGTTCAAATGATACTGCTGAAGCTTTTTAAGTGCTGAAAAAAACTGAGGAAGAAGTTCTGCACATGGTGACAGGCTTCACCATACATACACTTTACAAGGTGTGTGTGTGTATATATACTGTATATATATATATATATATATATATATATATATATATATATATATTATTTTTTTTTTATTATTATTATTTTTTTTTTTTCACAGTGGTACCTCAGTTATCGAACTCATTAGAACTAGAATTTCTTAAAAGTCGAACCGACCAGTTTGAAAAAATATTACCTAGAGCTCGATCTGAGATAGCTTGTACGCGCGGGGAAATGAGTCATGCGGCACGTCTCTCTGGAAACAAAGGGTAACTCTTAGGTCTCAGCCTTGCATTAGCTGTGATAGCATCATGCATGTTTACATAAGCTGAATACATTTATTTAGACAGTAAAAATACATTTTGACAATGATAGACAGTAACAGTAATTATTATTATTATTATATAATAAAATACATTTAAAAATAAAGATTTCTTATTCATTATTTTAATATTAATAACAAACCATTAATACGTTTAATTATAATAATATTGTTGTGCCTAGTGCGGACAGAACGGAGACAAAGGCGCAGACGTCAGGGTATCGGGGAATACGAGGTTTAATTACAGGTAAGGCAGGCTAAACGCAGATGGACAATACAATGACCCGACTGGGGAAACAAACTGAAACGCGGACGAAATACAGAGCTAGGACTAATGACAACAACCAGAAACAGCTGATCACAGGAGGATTACACACGGGGTTAACGAGGGGGCGTGGCACACGGAAGGAGCGGACGATTGGGGCAGGACACATTATTTGGATACATTTATTTTCTTACTAAACAAATTACTGTTTTGATATATGTGCTTAGATGTGTTTAGTACAGTATATGCTCTTCTTGTTTTATCCAGTTCATTTTGTGTTTAAATACTTAAAAATAAACATATTTTGGGGGACGGGAACCAATTAATTGGTTTTCCATTATTCCTTATGGGGAAAATTCGATTACAACTCGATCCAGAGTTCTGAACGGATTAAATTCGAGTTCTGCGGTACCACTGTGTGTGTGTGTGTGTGTGTGTGTGTGTGTATATATATACACACACACACATTTGAATGATTTTAATTGTAGTGAAAATAGTTATTTCAATGCGGTAATCATGATGTTGAACATACATGTATATATGAGTTAATACACAGCAACATAGTCAAAAAATAAATACTTTAGTAAAGTAATTCTGTGATTTGTGTTATGTGTGTATCAAGATCTGTTTCATATACAATTCCCCCGTCCAAGGCCCTCCTAACCTGACACAGAGTCACTGCACCTCTTTCGAGTACACCTGGAAATGAATCACTACTGACATCTTGCACATGCAGTTGGAACGCTAAGCCCATCTATAAAATCAAGCTGTCGAACAAATGCATCCATCTTGGTTCTAAAGTATACAGCAGGCTGTCAGAGATGCTCGGGGTAAAGGAGCCTGGTGGTGGTGCCCTGCTCAGCGCTGGAGGACCCCAACCTCATTCAGAAGCTCCTTAGTGGTGTTTTACTGTGATATCTGAAGTGTGCCTCACACTTGGGGTGGGCCACCCACAAAGGTGAGTCATGCTGGGTTCAATTATTGCACTAATTTAATGAGCACTAGAGATCGTGGAGACATCTCTCAGCGTGTGACCCTACCAGGAGCGAACGACTGTGTAAGCAAAGACATGTGTGACCAAGAAGTCTACAGAGATGTTGCCCCAAGTAACAAGTACAACCAAGTCCTGAGCTTCAACAAAGTGACATTAATCTGCCCCGAGACCCCACATCTGTGTCCTGTGCAATGGGGATTTGACCCGCTCCCCCACACTCCTGCCCACTAAATGGACAGAAATCCCATGTCATGACCAGCAGTCCATGACTTCAGGCAGCAATAATCAAACCTCGCTGTTGAGAGCCAGAATTAAGTAAGCTGTGGCTGAAATTAAGGACTGACTGCTCAAGCTTAGAGAGAGTCCTAAAAAAGTCACTATAGAATAATTAAAGGATCTATACAATATATTTGGTGTGTGCTTTATAAGAAAGAAGTGTTTTTACAGCACTGACAGTGATAGACAGAGCCTGGAATGGCCTGGAATGGCCTGGAATATCCCACTGCACATGATTACTGCAAATGGCTACCGAGGATATACCAAGTTGAAACATTAAAGAGCTTGAACAGGCTTAGTGGCAAGATGACAGATAACGTTTAGGAAAAAAATTAAGACAAAGGCTTTTGTCTTGGCTTTAGAAGTCTTTTAAGCATGTTAGCAGTAATAAATATGTGTTTTGAATTTATTCTTTACTTTGATGAATTAATCTAAAGCCCTTAAAAAGCCCATTTTTTCTGTCGACGTTGCTTTTCCATTGGCTGTTTGTTTAGCTCGTGTTTTTCCTTCGGTACTATGCACTGACATCATTTCCTTTTACTTTGATGTCTTAGGAGATCTGCTACCTGACAACTGTACAGCGTCCCTGCTTGTTCAGAATAAAGCCAAAAAAGGGAAATAAACAGAAACAACAAACACAGAATGGCAGCGTGTCAGAGTTCAGGGGTGTACTGGGAGAAGTGGCAGCCAGGGGAGATTAGCGCTTCTGCAAACCAGTCAGGACCTTGGAGACGAAGCTGACGATGGCCAAGGCTGGCTGTTCAGAGTCCATTTCTGCAAACAGGTGACTCACGTTGTCTGTCATGCTGCCCTGCTTCCGGGCTATGAACCCAAAGAATCTGACCAAGACAAAGTTGAGAATTGCTAACAAACACTTTAAAAACCACAGATCAACAAATGAAACATCTATAAAGTCTTCATATAGTGCTTGATTTTAAATAATACATACTGTACATACTATCCATTTATCCACCATCCAAATTCTAACAGCTTATCCCAGTGACAGGGAGATATACAGCATATAATATATAACTTCAGTTTAAAAAAGCATTAGAACAACTTTCACTTAAAATCTCATCTCCCTCCTATATAGATAAATCTCAGGGAGTCCTTGCAGGAGGATCCTGTCATCACTAGGGGGTTGCTAAAAATGATGTTTGGACTCTGAGTCTAACCGTGATTAACACTCACTTTGCAGAACCGCCCTCTGCCTTCTTCCACCTGTAAAAGCATTTAAAGACACACGGTCATCCCTCATCAGCTGACTCAACCTCAGGTAGTACTATTGCCGCACTTTGCCAGCACTCAGACACTCACTTCCTGTCCTGGGGGTCGACGTCACAGAAGGTAATGGTGTTCATGGGATAGTGGCGTCGGAAGAATATTCTGGAGGGAAGGAGATGAAGCAAGGTTAGTTTGTGGCCGGCACGTGGCCCTCAGATGATGACCCCCCCTCATCATGTTAGGCAGCATCAGGGAGACCATTTCAGCTGAGTGTCTACTTAGGTGACACATCGGTGACATCAAACTATTCAACAGATACCATCAGGGAGGACACTGGTCAGTTCTTGTAAAATCACCTCCACTGCCACCGTCCCCTGACCCTGACTCACCTCCTCTGGTTGTCAGTGAGGGTGATACCTTGTGCGGACACCTTGAAGTGGACGATGGTGGGGGTGGGTAGCGTGCTGGCCCCTAGGGTCATGGACACGGCTTTGGCCACGGCTTGGGGGCCCGTCAAAGACTCCATGTCCACGGAGTTTATGTACAGAACGTTACATGCTGCAGGAGAGCAAAGACAGCGACAAAGCCTTCCGATCAACATAACATCATGTCTGAACTGCAGGAGGTGTGATCGCTCACCTGGTGTTGAGGTCTGATAGCTGTACTGGGTGCCTGCTGAATGGGCAGGGATTTGTTTTAGATGAATTAGGCCTGAATGAACCACCAGTTGAATCGCAGCATTAGAGCTATGTTACTGAATTATGTAGCCCAGAGATCCTGTGGTTTTCCAGCTTGATTTTACTGCAGATTCATTTCAGGGCAAATTAAACAGCATTCTAGGTCAATATTTCTGCATTTCCACACAGATGCAGTAGACACATGACACAAGCATGCATGTCTTCAGATTTCATGCCTTTTTCTGGAGTCACAGAGAGGTCACACAGGACAGGTGCGTGTGACCCAGGAGGGCCCTAGGTCACAGTTCTTAGGAACCTCATGCATAACAGCTTCGAAAAGGTCAGAGCACAAGCTCAAAGAGACACAGAGAAGCAAGCAGGTGTGTTTACCGTAGGATTCAGCTAGGGACCTCTGCCCTACACTCACTTGAAAGTGACAACAGAATTCATTTAAAATGTGAAGAGCTTAGTCAGTCACAGATGATTCTTATGAGGTCACAAAGGGGGGTCCTTACCTGCACCCTGCCTCAGTAGATTTGATGTGATGTCACTAATAGAGGCCATGTCCAAGCGCTCCACAGAAAAATCTACAGGGCAAAAAGTAATTTAAATTCACACCCCCTACTGATCCCGAATGAAAACTGTCAGCAGGATCCCACCCCTCGCCATCACAGCCACACCCCTACTGATTTTCAGGCACACCTCTCCCTCAGAATGGCCCTGACCCTCTGCCATCACAGTCACATGCTATACTGATCTCCAGCCAGCCTCCTACTTATTCCCAGTCAATATGGTCAATGCTGTCATCTCAGCCACACCCACTGAATAATCTAATTTCACACCATCACTCTCATCATGACCACATTACTCTGTTCTTGCCACACCTACTATAACAATATATGAAACTACTATGACCCTACTGCTGGATGGTGGGTTAGAATGCAGACTGGTGTCCTGACCTCGAGTTGGGATGAGCAGGGTGCAGGGTAGGGCCAGTGGGGTGATGGAGTGCTGGTACACCAAGGCAGACAGACACCCTGCGGAGGACAGGATGTTACTATGAAATTCACCACAGCCAGACCACAAGCACAGCTCTCTTTTGGGCTAAGCGCGGCTGTAGCTGTATAGATACTGCATTTGACAGAGTCTCTAGGGAGGGAGGGGCCCTGCCCCATGACCCAAGGAGGGGAGTCTGTCATGGTTCATGTCAGCAACCTTTAAACAAACCTGAAAACAGCAGTTGACTGTTTGATTTTAGCTTTGATGATTAGACTAAACATTTGGGAAATATCTGTAGTGAAAGGTTTGTAATAGGTAAAAAATGGTTGAAAATGTATTTATTAATCATTTGTTTGACATCAGAACAGATCTGTAGTTAAAAATGCATACCCTACATACTACTCTCCGTCTGCTGTATAACAGTACAGTCTTTTCAAGGCAGTTTTACACTACTCAGTTTCAAGTGCATGTAGTGAAAGTCCTTTGATCTGTTATTCTGTGAACGACGGTGCATGTTCTTCCTCCTCTGACACCATATTCCCACTCACCAAAGTAGGGCTCGTTGGGGCAGCCCTTCAGCTTCACTCCCCTGGGGCTTGTCTCGATTAGGAAGTGCCGCACTAGCTCGTGGGCTGTGTCACTACCTGTGGGACAGAAGGACACAGGTGGGATTCTCTTTTGGACAGATAGTAATAGTAATCAGTGGTGTAAATAGTGAAATAGATCTAAGGACAGTGACAGACACTGTGAGACAAGGGGCAGAATCGCACCTTTGTCACTCTTTTGCACAGTGGGTGGGGGCGAGGCCACCTTCATAGCCAAGCCATAAGCACCCCGGAAGGAGTGGCTGTCGCGGATGACGAAAGTGCCGGGTTCGCGGTCTTTTAGCATGTCGATGGCTGTCAAGAGGAAGAGGAGGGAGGGGAGGAAGGGCAGGTTGCTGAGCCTGAGCCCGCGGTGTTACATAAAACTGCTTAATAGTAACTTCAGTCCAAGGAAAATGCCACTGTTTCTGCTGTTAGGAAAGAAAGTAGCACAGCAGGTTATGGATCTGCAGGTGATCATGTGATCATGCTGAGTGCTGCTCAAACCTGAACACAGCAGGTCTCACAACCTGCTGCCCGCCCTCCTCCCCTGTGCTTACCTTCCTCTCGGGAGATGTCGGGCTTGTACCAGAACCGGGAAGTGCCCTGCACAAACTTCACGCTGAGATGGTTCTCTGGGCCTCCTTCTGCAAGCAGTGCATAGCCATGAGCAGTGGCGTGGTCCCTTGTTATAGCTGGCACGCAGTAGGACACTCATGCTTACCGCACGTGGAGAACCTGGAGAAGTCAGACAGGGTGTGGACCAGCCTGGTGCTGGGTGTGCTGTAGCCGCTGGATGGGGGCGAGGGGGCCGTCGCTTTGCCATTGTAGGAGGGTATAGTTGAAGGTCTCTCGCCCCCATTGGACATGCTTCGCTTGCGCGGGAGTTGTGGCTGCGTGCCCAAACTGCCCAAGGGCACCATGTATGGGGGCAAACTTGGAAAGGTGCCCCCTACAGGCACATCGGGGGTGACATAGCCACTTGATGAGGACTGCCCATCCGTGCCATAGCTGCATGGGAAGGAACCGCCTCCAGGCCCAGGCTCGCTGCCATTGGCTGGCTGCCCAAGCCAATCCGAGGTCAGGCTGCTCTGACTGGTCAGCTTGGGCCAAGAGGCAAGGCTATGGGGCGTGTTTGTAGCCACTGAGTGCTGGAGCATGCCAGGGCTCCCAGGGGTGGCCAGGACAGGGGCAGCCTCTGGCAGGCATGGCCCATAGTCAGCTGTAATATAGCTGCTTGTGGCGGTGTCTGAGCCAGAGGTCGGGTACGAAGAAGAGGGGAGGCGGTAGGCGGTGTCTGGGTGGTGGGGGCTGGGATCCCCTAGGGGGTGAGTAGGGGGAACAGTCCACAGGCCACTGTCAGCAAAGGGGTAAATTCTGAAACAGATCAGACATCAGTGTTTCTCAATAAAATCTCCAGGAGGAGCTCATACCGCTGATTGCATTGTTACATCTTGCAGGGAATGCCCTATCATAAAGCACTCTGTGGGTTATGTACACATGCCGTTTGCAGCCAGTCAGCTTTGGAGCACATAGCTATGGTTAATATAAACTTCTGTACCTTCTATGACATGAAAGGTCCGCCCCACACTAGTAATACGATGGCCATATGTGGAAATTAGCGGGAGAAATGAATTTGAGAAAGCACTTCTTTACACAGCGTGTAGTTAGAGTATGGAATAGTCTTCCTGTTAGTGTAGCGCAAGCTAAAACCCTGGGGTCCTTTAAATCAGAGCTAGATAAAATTTTAATAACTCTGAACTATTAGTTAAGTTCTCCCCAAACGAGCTTGATGGGCCAAATGTAAATTTCTTATGTTCTTAATACAATCAAGCGCTATAATGCATTGTGGGTAGCACAGACATGAAGATCACTTACCCATCAGAACTTGGAATGGGGCTACCGGAAGATAGAGGGGGGTTCATGGTATAGAAGGGGGTGTTTTGCTTTGCAAGGCTGTCAGTGGCATAACTGGGGGCTGAGGGGGCCCCTGCCGGCTTCCCCCCACTGACGGCAGCGGCACTACGAGCTACAGACTCCACGTAGCTGCATGGCTCTGTGGATAGACAGTGCACTGCTAGCACACAGATGCAGGATGAGTGATTGCCATGGCAATGATACTCCAAAACGGCAGAGGTCCCGTTAAGGCTTAAACGGTCCAGGTGAGATATCAAAACAAATTCATCATTTATGTTTCGTGTATTCTTGGTGTATGAAATCCAAGTGATTTGGCTCTTTACATTCTTCATATTGAAGCAGTTGTATGTATGAATGAGTGACAAAAATGCAGACCAACCTCAAATGGGGGTGCAATATTATGTTTAAGAGCAACAACTGAATCTAAAGCAAAGGTGTGTCGGTGGCATGGGGGGTAGGGGATTGTGGTGACTTTCAGATCTGGGGGGGGAATATGTTGGGGGCTGGTGAAGTTATTCATTACCATGGAGGTCTTACCTTCCTCTCCATATTCTAGAGGGTTAGCTGCTGAGTCTGGCAGCAAGGGGGGGGAGGAACAGATGTTTGAAAGAGGAAACAGAGAGAGAGAAAAGGAAGTGACTAACTAGCTGTCTGTTGCTGTGGGGCCAATCGGAAAATAGATGGTAAGTTTCAGATTGAACTGTAAAAATGCCATCAGCTGTAGAAAGAACAAGAAGAACTGCTTTTGACAGGAGAAAGACCCATATGAGAGCGAAGAGGGGTTGTTATGAAAACTGCGAGACATTGAAAATGTACGACTATTAAGCAGATGCTTTTATCCAAAGTGATGTATGACTGAGAAGACAGGGTTACTGGCCCACCATGGGATGGTGAGCACAGTGTCCTACATCTGCCCCCCTGCCCCCGCACACCACCACTTCCCAACCCACCCCCCCAGAAGGACTAGCAGATACTGACCTGAGCCACTCTGCTGCAGCAGGATCTCAACGGGGTTGTGGGGCTTCAGGCCCAGGGCAGAGAGAGGTGTCTTGGCCAGGCCTGGAGGAGAGCGGCCTGTAGGGGTGTTGGTGGTGGGGGGGGGGGGGGTGTTAGCCATCGTAAATCCCATTAAGGCACAGGGCCTTCTACTGGACATCAGGGTGCATCAAAATGTTCATAGGAAAATGGGATCATGAAGGCAGCACATGCTAGTTGAGTGCTATCAACACAGTACAGTGAGAATGGTGCGGAAGCCAGTGGCAGTATGTTATGCTCTACAGCAACATCATGCATGGGTGGGGGGAGGGAATAGTGTGACTGTCACAGGCCCAGTGGTGGTGGAGGGGGGAGTTGTCAAGTAGGCACAGCATGCATAGGGGGCGCAAGGGTGGTTAGTGCTCCTGGAGCCTGACCTCAGAGTAGAGCTCAAAACACAAAGGATGCAAATGGAAACATAGAGTTACATGATCAGAGCCAAGCCAGACAGGGAGGTGAGGCAATGAGGATCTTTCACAGTCCGTGTCACATGACTTTCATAATCCTGATATCACAGGGGTAAAGCTGTATAATACCCAGCGACTTGGGGGGTAGGTACGGCTGAGCCTCCGTGTCTAAAGCTGGGCTGCCTGATGTCTGTCATGCAGCCAGCAGTGCCACCCACAGTTGGGCGGATGCCGGTGATCACCACTTACCAAAGAATCCAAAACAATTCCTTATTTCTGTAGCATAAAGTACCCCCTGGGTGGGGCTTGGCTTGGGTGGGGCATTTGGAAAGTGGGGGGTGGGTTATGCTACTGAGGAGGAGAGAGCCGTGGTGATGTCACTCTACTGCAGCCTTAATGATCCGCATGATAATAAAGAGAGAGAGAGAGAGAGACCACTCCCAGGCCTTCCCAGAAGCTGTCCAACGGAATTATGGGAAAATTCCCAGGTGACTGCTGAGCTAAACATTAGCCTCAGCCATGAAATGAGCTAATTTTGTCCTTATTTGAGTTTGACTGGGGTGTCCTAATTCCACATGTCTTCCTGTTAGCTTCCTAGAAAGATGCCTTTTTATGTAAGGGTCTCTGTCATCTGACTTTTATTCACACTTAATTAAGAACCTGACCAACTTGGTGGAAGGTTGAGAAGATGAAACACTTCCACATACTAGGCTAGGAGATCAGCTCCACATGACCATGTCATATGACTGCTTATATTCACAGTCATGTGACCACCTCCATGATATGCATTCAACTCCAGACAAATGTATGATGGATAAGGAATGCCCTGGAATGGGAGGAGCCATTTCTGATTCAGGATAATAAGTTCTTGGAGCAACCAAAGTTAATCCTAAAATAACAAGCAATCTGACATCACGAATGCATGATTCTCTTTGATTGCATCCAATCAGAGACACCAGAAATGCTCAGTGCTCTCTTTCCTTTACACGCAGCACATTAAATGTTCTGAATTTAGCACAAGTGTTAAACTAAGTGTTAAACTATGTAATCTCCAGTGATTCCTTAAGAAGGAAGAATCATGATATCCACCAAGAATTGAAACCCATCACCAAATCAACAAGAATATTCCAAACCAACACCATTCTCTAATCTAATAAAAATTACAACAAATTTATTTTCAAGAATAAATTTGGTATAGACACCATGCCAATGGCAACATCATTTCATGTGAGCAGCTGGGCAGTGGCTCCTGCATATTTTTAAGTTGTTTTGAGGTATTAACACCATTACCTTGTCAGACTGCATCTTTCATGAAACTCTGTCCTATATAATTTACTGATGACAGCTGACTTACTAAGCACAGGCTTCTGTGACTTTAGAGAGAAACCCATCTTTTATGTGTGGACTGCTGTGAACCACGGCTCCCTCTTCCTGCAGAGCAAAAGAACTTACACAAATTGAAGTAAGGGGTTTGTGGAGAGACGGGGAAGGCTGGGGTCAGGGGAGGGGCCTCACCACCGGAGCTGGGCGGAGGACTGATGGGACTGTCCTCCATTTCCTCAAAGGCTTCCCGGTAGCTGTGCATCTGTCCCTGGGGGCAAGACAGGTACACACACCACACAAACACACACATAGTTATTATAAATAAAATGTATTATTATTATTATTACCATGGAGCAGTGGTACTATGCAACTCAAAGTGACTGAAATGGACCAAAAAAGGTTACATGGAAAACCTGTGCAGTGACTAATGGCAGGAGACCAGAGGATAGGGCAGAGAACCCTTGTGCTGTACCTCCTTGGGCCGTCCACCTGGGTTCTGAGCGATGGCGTTAACAAACTCTGGGGAAACACAGCGGATGGGTGAACGGATCGTGCGGCCAGGGCCACGGCCATCCAGACACTGGCCCTCGCTGTTTGTCCGGCGTCGTGTGGAGGCAGTGCCTCTGTCAGCCAATGTCTCCTTGCTTTGAACACCTGCCAATCAAAACACTGACCGCTCAGAATGGTGCCCCTACCATCTCAGACCTCCCCAAGAACTCAGTGAGGTTCTGAAGAGGAGCCGGGCTCACCTTTAAAGCCACTCCTGTCACGTCCGTTAAGATACCTGTTATCTTGTGTGGGCGAACTAACACCTGTGTTTGATTGGCAAACGTTTACTTTTTCAATAGTTAGCGTTTACTTTTTCAATAGGTAGCCCTTCATCTTCTAGTACAGGGCTGTGGTGTAAACAAAGCATCCATTCATTCATGCACAGCATTCATCTACTCATTCACAGTAAACTGTCACAATATGAATATCACTGCATTACCTTGTCCATTGGCCCGTCAGTATTGCTATGTAGAGAGTAGTACTTGGTGCACTGCAATCAGAGCACTTTCAGGCAAGCTTGTCAATCATTACTAAGACTGTCTATGGACATAATTCCCAAGAAACACTCAAACAAACACATGATCTCTCGGGCTCTCAGGCCAAGAAGATCCACCCAAACAAGCAGGGAACCAGGCAAGCAGCAGACGTCAGTTTGGGAGCAGGAGGGGAGTCACAGTGTGGGCTAATCCTATGGGAGTGGCTCAGGATGCAGCTTCTAACAGTGTAGAACATTGTGTTGTGTTTCAGTGCAGACTGGGCCACTAGGGGGCAACACAATCATGTCTTAGGAGTTCTGGGACTGCCAATCGGCTCACAGCTCACGGCTCCCATAGCTGAGCCGACAGTATGGAACAGCCACTACAAACATCCCCAGGAGCCCTAAGCTGAAAGTCCTGGCAGAGGGAGACAGACCTCAGACTCTACGCAGGACCCAGACCCTGGTGACGGGGAAGGCTAATCCATCCCAGCTGCAGGGACAGAGAATCCCAGGAGAGGTTGTTCACCCCTGGAAAAAATCAGACAAAGTTGATTCTGCTTGTTCTGTAAGTGGAATGCAAAAACGTGACTCAAACCTCAGCCCCACCTCCCCACATCTCCTGCAGAAGCATTATATTGTAAATGCCACACTGTGGGTGGGGCCCACAACCATGGTACTGACACTGGGAGTTGGGGGGCTCTACATCTCTGGAAAAAGCCAGTATACGTTGCTGTTCATGTACTGTGAAATTGGTAGCTCGTTAGTTATCAGTTACCGCCAGTCAGTTAGTAGTGTTAATGGCTGTACGGGCAGGTCAGAAAGGGACAGAATGAAGAGGACAAGTAAACAGACCAGCAAGGGAATAGGAGCGACTGTGGTCTGCTTTTGGGGTGGCCATGCTCTCCCAGATGCCCTGGATACGAGCATTGTACTCTGAACCCACAGCCAGGGGAGGTGTGGTGAGGAGGAAGAAGAGGAGGATGACAGGGCGCAGGGTTCCCAAAGTGGACAGATGGACAAAATGAGAGAAAGAGATGAAAAAAAGGTGAAAGGAGAGATTTACATGGCAGAAAACCCCATCACTGTCTGGGTTGTGTCTCATTATGGTGCCGGGGGCTTGATATACGAGGAAAGTCTGGGTCAGAAGAGAGGAGAAAGCCACCCTCTGTTTGGTGCTCTGAGATACACGGCCAGGACTAACTCTGATTATCTGAGCCTACTGGTTCCCCCTGGTGGATAAACAGAAGGACTGAGAATGGGCCTATTTTTCATAGAGGTCCATTTATTTTGCCCAAGAGATATGTAAGCTTCATTCAGAAAGTCCTTGTATTGCTGTTGAGTGTAAGGCTGCATAATATCATAGATAAAAAACAGTACTGCAATTTACCTGGATCAGGCTGTTCTCTCATGACCTCATACACTATGTTGGGATGCTTGAAATGCAGTCCCATTTGGGGGAACTCACACATCTTTAACAGGAGTTGCTCCCTTTACTGTTTATATAGGTGCTAAAATAGACCTGTATTAAAACTTATAAAAGTAAATTTTTAATTGATACTTTTACTGACCCCAATGGGTCTTTACACCTCCCTCAACTTGTTCTCTGTAGAGTAAGCTGTCTATGAAGGGCAGCCACCTGTTGTGCACCCAGGGAGCTGGGAGTTAAGGGCCTTGCTCAAGGACCAGCAGATATGCTGAGGCTAGGTTTGAACTGACGACCTTCTGATTATAGGCACAGAGGCTTAGCCCTCTGAGCCACACACTGCCCCCTTTTATTTTGACATAAGTACTAAATCTTACAAATCTTACGAAATAAACATGACATTTTAGTCCAGCTAGCCCTAGTAAAACTAACTTTAGCCCAGTTACCCTTAGCCCTGTTAGCTTTAGCCCCGCTAAGGCGCCCTTCTTACCGGCTACGCGGTGAGCCACCAGACCCTCCAGGCTGTAGCTCTTCTCTTCGTTAGGGGGGGCAGTGGGAAGGGGAGGCGGGGCATAGCCAAGACTATACTGGGACCCTGGCACTTTGGGCCCCCCCTGGAACTCATAGCCTACTGAAAAAGACCGAGTTATGGGGGGGTCTACTGGATGATGGAAGAGTGGGGGAGTATGGCCCGTGTAGGCCTCCTTGGGGGCCGTCAACACTTGGAGGAGGGAAGAGCCAAAAGGAAAGGGGCCCTGCAGAACGGAGTCTGACTGGGGTGCGGGGGGGCGCGCCTCAGGGGCCCGGGGTGGCTGAGCGATGGCAGGATCCAGTTCCAGCATGAGCATGCCGAGGTCCTCGATGGAGCGCTCCACATCCTGCTGGGAGGGGGCGGCGGGGGGCAGCTCTGGCAGGCTGTGGGTCTGCTGTTGCCAGGCATTCATGCCGCGCTGCACAGCATTTCGGCTGCTGGAGCCACGGGCAGGGGCCCTGGGGGTGGGCTCTAGAAGCAGCTCTGGCCCAGGTGCGGTTCCGAAGGAGCGGGAGCGGTAAATGGCGGCATGGCTGTAGTCCAAGTCTGGAGTGTGTGCCAGCACAGAGGAGCTGCAGCGGGCCCGTGGGCCCAACTCAGGTACCCCCGGCACATGGTGCAGACTGCCCTCCCCATTGATCACTGATTCCCTCTGGCAATAGAACTCAGGGGGTGTGACCCGACCCCCCTGGGAAGACGGGGTGCCCAGGCTGTCCCTGCTGTTGGACTCCAGCACCTCATCATCCAGGATGTCTGTCTCCCGGTCTGCGCCGCTATGTCCATTGACATGTACTTCTGCGGGCACTAGGTGGCGCAGGCCTAGCCCCGTCATAGGTGCAGGCACTGCTGGGCAGCCCGACCGTTGCATTGGTGCCTCCAGGCCCGTCAGAAGCGTCTCCAGGTCTTTTGTCTCCACTGGGCTCAGAGATTGGTTTGCCAGCACCCCCTGCTGGAACGGCTCATCGGTGCGGTCAGTCTTAATGGAGGCCGTGGAGTGCCCTGAGTCGCTGCTCACAGAGAGGGCGTTGTCACAGGCGGACAAGGCTGGGTCACCCGTAGGCAGGGTCTGGCCCGGTACCGTCAGCCCGTTTGTGGTGACGGTACTGTTAAGTGGATCCTTTCTGCGAATCTTTGCATAGAGACTGCTGTCCAGAGGACCTTGTGTGTGGATGATGTCTGGAATAAACAGCAAATAGGGAGAAAAAAGGCACATTGTTCACATTTTCCTCACAGCAAAAAATCTCAGTAAAAGAAGCCAGATGAGTAAAAAGCAATTTTACCCAGGAGTGCTCACAGGCATCACCAGCATAGCTTCATGGTGTCACCTCTGGGTCTATGTTGCTGATCTCCTTCTCCTACCCCCTCCTTCCAGCCCGGGATGCTACCTCAAACTAAACCTCTGCTTTCAGGCTGGATGGTGATGCCCTGGGCAGTGAAAGTATGGTGGAGAGGATGAAATGCCTCTCAATGCCTGCTTCTACTTTGATAAATATGCCCCATTCTTGCCTTTCCCATTCCATCTTAATGCCATCGTATCTTTGTTTTTCAGGCTGTGGACATCCCATAATGCCATCAACACGTGATCCTCCCTTCATAATGAATAAAAATTCTGTGCTATTTCTGGCGTAAAGGGCAGCATTAGCTCCAATCAAATTACCTCGTATTTGCTCAGTAGACATTGTTCTCCCCAAATCTCCTTCTTCACAGCTCTGAACACAATCCATCTATTCAGCCTTCTTATAGCAACCAGCGGGATAAGAGTGTTACTCAAAGGTACAACAGCTGGACACACCCACAAGTCAGCTCCCAAAACACGGCACTTCACAAGCAATCCACCCACACAGATGTTTTTAAAGTACATCTGTACACACACTGGGTTTTTTTTTAAGGAAAGAAGCTGAAAACAACCACTGTGAGCTCCAGGGCAGACCAGCACGCCAGGAAGGTGGGGCCCAGCTGGACATGGATATCCCACGGCTTACGACCCCCCCGCGGCCCTCAGATCTCTTTTCAAGGGCCTGCCTGATGGTTCTTCGGCGAACGTGTGTGGCACTCTGCCAGCGTCTCCTTAAACGAAGCTGCGAGGCTTGGAAAAACTGAACCTCCTCCCCATCCTCTGTTCAGGCCACCGTCACCCTGGCAACCTCCAGTTTAGTTTGCTACACATCTAATACAGGGGGCTCCTCTTGTTTTAGAAGAGACAGCCCAGCTCCCTGCTGCCCCCCGTGTTGGTCTTCCCTAAGAGTCATCGCAAGGTTCCAAAGTCGAGGGGGTACAGGGGCCACAGGGCTATAGGGCAAGTCAACATTTTAATGTTCCTCTCAAATTAGGGAAAATGCGGTACGACATGCCAAAACGCTGAAAGCACCCCCAAGCTAGAACCAAGGGGTCTGTAAAGCACCTACTTGCTATTTCCAAATCACTTTTATCACGTCCAGACTGTCCAACATGATACACCATTAGCACATTGTAAATCGAAACACTGGCAGACCCGCGACAAACTCCAGTATAAATAGTGACTTCAGGGACTCATGGGAAAGGCTCGGAGAGAAACAGAGCTCCTTTCAGTAGGAGAAAATAAGCCAAACAAAAGACAAGCGCACAGTGCGCTTACCTGTCTGTGTCCCCAGGGAGCCGCCTGGCCTTCCTGCAGGAGCTCCTCACAGACTAGCACCAGCACCTTGTATGTTTAACTGCTGCTCTCTTTAGCGGTAGTGCTCCCCCCCCCCTCCCCCCACTTGTAGAGTGTCCCAGGACTGTGTGTCTGACAGCGTGACATCACTGACAGCAAGGCGGTGCCCTCCTTCTTTCCCTCCCTCCCTCTCTCTCTCTCTTCTAATGCTCCACACCTCCATCCTGCTCCTGGTCAGACCTCTTTTCTAGGAGGCTCACACTGTTCCAGCTGTTGATGCTGCCATTGGATAATGGAAATAAATCACGCCCCTCAGAGCCAGGATAATTATTACCACACCCCTCTCAGCCAGGAAAATTCTAAGCACACTCCTCCAAACCTAGGATGTTACAGACACACCTCTCCGAATCAGGGAACTTATAACCATTCCTCTCCAAACCCAGGACATTATAGCCACACCCCTCTGAATCAGGAAAACTATAAGTACACTTCTCCAACCCCAGGATGGTATACCCTTGCCCCTCTGAGCCGGGGAAATTATAACCACACCTCTCGAAACCCAGGATGTTACAGACACGTCCATATGAACCAGGGAAATTGTAACTATGCTACCTACCCCCCCCACCCCCGCCCCCCCCAAACCAAGGACATTACTGTCATGCCCCCCTGAGCCAGTGAAATTATAACCACGCCCCTCCAAATCCAGGATGTCATAGCCACACCCCCTAAGCTGGGGACTGTCTCTTTAAACCATTAGACTGCATTTACAGATAATACACTGAAATAATGCAGTGATGTTCAGATGCTCGCGTGAGAAGTTGTCGCTGAGTGAATGGTAGAGTACCTTCCTCCCCATGAAGCACCATTATCCCCCAGCTCATGCACTGCTCCCACATGCTGGAACATGTGTGAATAACAGCTCCTGCATCGCTATAACAGGGACAGCTTCTTGTTCAAATCTGATGATAGGCACAAGGGACAAACTGTAAGCTGAGGACTGCTTGCACTTTTTCTGGCTCTAAACTTGTATGTATGTAGCTCTTTCTCAGTCCATAAACTGGCTGCACAGTATGAAATAAAAGCCACTGGCTCTCCTGGGTCATACTCTCAACCTATTCTGTGCCAGAAAACTGTTCATGTGACTGAAAGGCTGATGGTTGAGATTATGACCCTGGGCTGAAATAGGCATGCAGCCCTCAGATGGGGTGATGTGCCAGGAAGCTGGTCAGCATCCTTGGAAGGTGATGGTTCAGCAGGACAGGATGGGCGCTTTGGTGGGCCGATACTCCCCAGCACTTCAAACATTAAAGACACATGAAGGATCACAATGAGGCTAAACAGCAGCCAGAAATGTACTGGAGAGCTGCGGGTCCAACAGCAGGGCTCCTTGAGAAATAGAGAATTATATTCAGGAGCACAGGAACCCCGGAAACTAAACCCCCTCCCCAACCCTCCCCCC